ACATCATTTTTCTTGTTAGCGTCCTGACACACGAGTTGACACGAGGCAAGTTTACGGCGTTATCTCTCGCTCGGAAGCTGATTTATTTAATGGAATTAATTATAATGAGAATTCCAATTAGAAAAGTTTAACTTTTACTTCGAGGCGAAACCTTGTCCCGAATTGGATGGATATAAAGTTTTTAATGACATCACATTTAATGCGTGCCATTTGACGTTACGAAAAACGATTGTCCTCGTTTTTTCAAAATTTAAAGAATATATCATTTATGAACGACCAAGACTATGTGACCAGTCAACCTGTAAATTGATACAGTTTGGCGAACAATTTTCTGGGCAAAATGTCATTTTTCAGCTCTGTAACAAGTTGTCAGTAGCCACATCTCGTCATTCGTGCAATTCGATTCAGCAGACGATTAATAAAACGGGTTGGTTTGATCCAGTTTCTCTTTTTCATTTCACCTCGTTTTTCTCCCTCGTGAGGATCAAATCCTCGAGTTCGTTGAATTTTGCCATCTGTGACCACCAAATTCTGCACTACAGGTTCGGGAATCATGCCACGGCTACATTATTTCTGCGTATATAGAACTGCAAGTATATGAAAAAATGTCGAGTCAAGATGTTACACGAAGAAACAAATTGTACACGCAACCACTGAATTTCCACAATCTGTCGGCCTCTCTGATGTAACAATTGAAAAAGAGAAAGTCTCGTTTTTTGTGAATGGTGCATTAATTGGGATGATAACGTAGAAAATCAGCCTCTCTTTCTGCCCAATAGATAAGAAACTCTCGTTGAAGGAGTGGAAATCCTGCCAAATCTGGTTTGACCCCAAAGTGAAAGCATGAAATGAATGCCATGATGACGCACTGTCAGTAGGAAGCTTTGTATATGGGATTTGTCTACAACTTCACAAGTACGATACGAGCAAATTCGTCACTGTTTGGGTGGAGACGAGTGTTGGCAAAAAGGTCAAAGCTATAAAACTAATTAATTAAGTAGCGTTGAGCAAAGAATGAGTGACGAATTTAGCTTTCGGAATTTCCGTCTTCAAGTGTGAAAACTATTCTGCAAAACTGATATGTCACGCGTAGTTGAACATTTACGTAATTTTCTTATCCTGTCAATCACAAATTAACTTTGATATATTAAGTAAATCAAGTAAACAAAATAATTAAGTAATTAACCAATCTAAATAATTAATTAAAGCGACATTTTATTCTACGCATCAATATTTTCGTCAAAATATTGTGACGCTGTAATTTTACTAAACTGAAGAAGACAGATTTTATTAATGAAACGGGTGTTTATTTACTTAATTATTTCATTGTTTTTGTCCACTTCCGTAAACGAAACAAAATGTTCTAGAATTATAAATAAAAACAGTATTTGAACTTTGCCATTTCTATTTAGCATGGATTCGTATTTAAGCAACAGTTGTTGATTGAATATGTAGTATCAATCTGATTATGTGTAGCATTACTTTTCTTTACAATAATGTGCCATTTACAGAGCAATACTTACGGAGAAAGTTGATACAACGAATAAACCTATTGTGTTGTATTTTCGTGTTTATTTATAAACGGGAAAGGTGAGCGTGTGTGTAACCTTTTCGCATTTTGTTAGCTTTCTATCTAGCAAGGTAAAGAATATGAAGAGTAAATAAATAGATAGGTCGGGTGACGGAATAATTTCGTCATGAATACGAAAGTGGCCAAGCGATGTGCGTATTAGACATTGAAGTAAGAACAATTTGAGGAAGGAATAATACCCAACGGAAGAATCGTGGTATCCAATTACAGGCAAAGTTGACCCAATTTAATGCCTAAGAAGTTGTAAAAATAGAACCTAACATGGCACGTGGAGAAAGCATTGTTATTTATACCTTGAAGTATACTTGAAGGCCTTCCGTGAAAAGGATAATTTAAAAAATTATATTTAAAGGTGAAAGGTTGACATCAATCATTTCAAATTTCAGATTCATAATGTCATTTCAAATTCATGTGCTATATTACATTTAACAAAGTCACATACTGATCGCCAATTTCAGTCGAACTAATAATTTCACATGTTAATAAGAATTGCGAAGTTAAGCAGTTCATCTTGAATTTCATACGCCGTCGATAATAATTATTTTATTTTTTAATGGGGGACCTCAGACACACGAAAAAATCGTCGCTTAGAATTTCGCTTCGTTTTTCGCTTATTTCCTGATAAGCGAACTCTGGGGCAAGCGAACAGAAACTCAACTCAGAAGTGGGGTTGAGGTCGGTTAGCTCCAGTCGGAACAAAATTTTGCAAATTTCATAATTCTGGCCATGCTATCGATAAGCGAAAAACGAAGCGAAATTCTAAGCGACAATTTTTTCGTGTGTCTGAGGTCCCCTAATATATTAACATAGTTTTGTTACGCATTAAATTATATTGATTTGTTCTATATTTTTGTTATGTATGTATGTATGTATGTATGTATGTATGTATAATTGTATATCTTTATTACTGTGTCTTTCCCAATTCATTGCATTCATCGTACAAGTACAACAACAATGGTCTACCACTGGTGACACACTGGTCATATACCATATATTTGGCTATTCTATATTACTAATTATTGCTTATCTAGTTAATACTATAAAAATTCTTCAGTTCTTTTCTGTATAATGATTTCCATTATTTCTTCTTTAAAAGTAGTGAAGTTCATTTCGGAGATATTAAGTGATCTCGGTAGTTCATTCCATAATATTTTGGTTCTATAATCTATTGATTTCTTGTATATTTCAGCTTTTACATTTTGGCTGGTGATTAAGGGTTTACTATTTGTTATTGTTCTTTCTGATAAAGACAGCTTGTTACCTTTGTAGTCTTTATATGCACCCTTTAAAGTAACAAAGTCACGCCGTTCAGAGACAGTCAGGAATTTACATTTCGCTCTGATTACATTCGCATCAATATTACTCTGTTTAATTCTTCCTTTTCTTCTACTTTTCCTTACAATTGTTGGGTAGAAATAACCAATTAGGAATCTATCGATTTTGTTTTGCAGTGATTTCAATTTCTGGTGTGGTTGGACTGCCCAGATTTCTAGTGCGTAGTCTATTGCTGAGTGTACATACGCATTTAGCATTATTCTCATCACATGTTCATTAAGGTTACGTCTTATACCGTACATAAATTTGAGATTACTTGCTACTTTTTTTTATAACATGGTCATAGTGTAAATTAAAGGACATGTGAGGATCTAAAATAACGTGTTTGCCAGAAGGGTCAGAATGTATCAGAACGTGGTCGTATTCAAGTAGTGATTTTCCTAACCTACCAAAATTCGATTTTCTCCGCAAGTCTACAATTAAAAATTACATTTTGAATAAATGATTACTTTAACTCCAAACTCATAATTATTAAAATTTAGGAATTATGTATTGTTAATGTAGATGACGAGAAAGTTTCTGCATGAAAGGAATGTTGTGGAGTATTTGATACTACACTTTCATTATTCAATTGATGAATCTTAAGTTAACAGCGAGGATTCAGGACGTGAATCCTCGCACGCCATATTTTTGAATGATCCAAGTTTGACTGACCAATTTTAAGCCGACCCGTTCGTAGAGAAAGTTCAAATACAATTGACAACAGAGATCTTAAAAAGAGGAAAGCTTAGAGATAAATGATCTGATATCTGTACGGTAAATCCCTAAATCTCGTACATATATCCCTTCCTAACAGGGACACGTATATATTCTTGTCATGATTCGATTTTTTGATCCAATTTGCTTGCTACGTGAATAAAGGATTACTTCAACGCCAGACTCATAATTTTTAAAATATGCATAATAAATATTGTGGACAATAGATATAGGTCCTCTGTTGTCCGGCATTGATGAAAGAAGGTCGTGATAAGTAATTAATAACAATATAACGCCCTTACATTACTCAATTGATGAATGTTAAGTTGGCATGATAAGCATTCACTTATATATTTTTGAGCGACTCAAGTTTGACTGGCCTATTTTAAGCTGCCCCGTCGGTAGAGAAAGTCCAAATAAAATTGACAACAGAGATCCTTCGGACAGTAAAACGCAAAGATAAATGATATGATAATGTACAAAAATCTGTATGGAAAATCTCCATCCCTTTCTAACAGGGACACGTATTCTTGTCAGGATTCGACCTTTTGATCCAATTTTCTTGCTACGTGTGCATAAATATTTACATGGTCTACATACAAACATACGTTGAAAATGATTATGTAGATTTGTATTTGTTCCTTGAAGGGGAATAATCAGACTTAACAAGATTTTGAAGAAAACAAAGCATGTATCCAGGAACCACCACTGACATTACGGAAACAAGAGAATAAGTATTGCGGTAAAACCGCTGAAAAATCTATTTTTTCAAAACTAAAGATACTTACAATATTCTACAAAAAGGAGAGAAAAAGTAACAAACAAGGCGTAGAAAACATTTACCTGTATATAATATATTAGGAAAAAAATAGGAGCAATTTTTGGGTATTTCTAAAGATTCCTTATTATCTTAAATATGCTAATAAAAATATAAATTACGTAAACTATATGTTAAGACGAACATGAATAGCTCTGTAGGATTATAAACTTTTATTACTGGTTTTTAATGCATGAATTCCTCAGTTGTAGCTGTGCACATTAGCCACGTATTTGTTCTCATTGTATTTCCTAAACATTACATGGTTGTCAATTAGGACGAGACATTTCCGATATTATTGTTTTTTATTCTTTATTTTACCTATTTTGATTGCCCCTATTTTTTCCCTAATATATTATATACAGGTAAATGTTTTCTACGCCTTGTTTGTTACTTTTTCTCTCCTTTTTGTAGAATATTGTAAGTATCTTTAGTTTTGAAAAAATAGATTTTTCAGCGGTTTTACCGCAATACTTATTTGATGCTTTTCACCTTAATATTAAAAATATGATAATTCAAATAAGTAAAAAAAATACGTTTTAATTGCAACGAGCAGTCCAACTTTAATTCAAGAGATTCAAATTGTTAATATTACAAATCATGACAATATTTTGATACTCTATATATATCTATAAGGCGCGCAGCCGAGCCATCTCCGCTATAAGTTTGTCGGGTGGTTTCGCAGTTAATTTGTTGTCGTCCTGTTCCAATATAGCGACTCCATCCAGTGTCCTGACGCGACTTAAGGCAACGTAGGCTTGCCCATGGGCAAAAATCTCGGCTCCCAAATAGATCACTGCTTTATCTACGGTGATTCCCTGTACCTTGTGCACTGTCACTGCCCAGCAAAGGACAATAGGTAGCATCCATCTTTGAATTTCTTCCTTTGCTTTCCCTGTGTATGTCACATCTGTAGGTTTTAACTCATAGACACCTTCCCGAGTCCCAGCAATGCGCCAATCGTCAAATTTCACCAATACACTTGAAGGGAGATCGCCGTGATGATGTTGTTCCCTTGCAAGTTCTTCCCACTTGAACCCGACGACCGTTCCCATTGAGCCATTGACTAAATAACGGTTTGTCGGCGAATTCCGGATTACCATAATTCTTGATCCAACTGCTAAGTCAATGGAACTTACGAAGCCACCACATTTATTGCTGTCTCTGTGGCTATATGCCAACGGAGCACGGGATCCAGCTTTGGTTCCAGAAAAGAAACTATCCCTCGCTTTGATAGTATAGACTTTTATGTGAGGGTCACTACGAAAAGTCCTGGTCTTGAGTCGGTTGTAAATAGATGCCTGATTTCTTGTAGGAAATATTCTAATAGCATCTTTGAATTTATCTTTCATAGCGGTGCTCGAAGTATCTTCACTAAACTCTCGCATCCGCAACTCATGGAGATCAGTAGTGGTGATGTTTCCTTCTCGTAGGTTGTTACAGATATGTAAGAGTGGATCTTGACCCTGTCGCATGTTGACCGTAAGTTCTTTAAAAGCGAAATTCTTCCAAAGGTTTTCTTCCGCTCCTAACTGTCGTGGCTGATCATAGATGCAGTGCCCATTAACAGGCTCCAACTGGAATAGATCTCCCACGACAATAACATTTTTCCCTCCAAATGGCAGCGTGTTGTCGAAACATTCTCCCAAACGTTGGCTTACTTGACGGAATAACTAAACAAAAATATTTTAGTTAACTTATTAAAGATGACTTATAATATTTCCTAAAATTACGTATTAATTTAGTTATTGATAATATACTAACCTCATAAGATATCATTGATACTTCATCCATGATGATCCACTCAACATCCCGAAATTTATCTCGCATTCTCTGCAGCATTATTGCGCCAAGAGGAGCGTAACGTGGAACAGAACCAGATTCTACAGCAAGTTGGAAAGTGCGATGAAGGGTTTGTCCATTTATATTTAAAGCTGCCACTCCAGTTGGGGCGGCCAAAAGTACACCTGCTGGGCCTGGTCCATCTTCCTTCGCACAGATGAGGTTCGTCATCAAGGAAATTAGGAACGACTTTCCTGTTCCACCAGCTCCAGAAATGAAAAGTTGTAGTTGACCTCTGCTAGGATCGCATAAATGTCCTTCAATCATGTCGTATATGAATTTTTGGTCTTGGTTCATTTTTAGCTTCTCAGCCATGAAGCAGGCTTCATTCAGAAGTACAATCCTATATTCTTCTTGAGCTGGAAGCACATTACTTCCGTCATAGACGTCAGGAAGGTATTGATACTCCTCGACCTCATGGATTGCAAGCGTTTCTTGGGGGTCCTGATTAAGATCAGCTAGATGAAGAGCTACTGCTTCAAGATCTTTCTCTATATCAGGACGTATTAAAGGGAAGTCCAAAGTTGTCCTAATATTGGCCTTATTCTTCTCAAATGCATCTGTAACAGATTCCCCGTCCGCCGTGAAATTCTCCTCAATGAATGGAACGTACAGTAGTAGATGGCTGTAGATAAAGTTTTCCGCGTCGGAGTCACTATGAAATGGTGGGCTCTTGATTACGGCGTACTTTGCTCTTTCTCTCCAGAGTCCCATAGACCTATCCTTAAGGTAGAAAGATCGTGGCATCAATCGGTTGGCATGTAGTAGTTGGTGTTCTTGTTCCTCTCCTTCATCAAAATCATCATCTACCTGTTGATAATTTCGTACGGGCTGATACTTGGAGGCGAATTCGAATAAACATATATTTCGTAGATCTTCAGGACGATTGCAATATTTGTCAATTATATTACTAGAATTAAAATAGGCAACTTAAATTTCCTGTTTTATTTATACATTTTTTTCATGCAATTTTACTGTACATACCTTGCAAATTGTACCTCATCCCTTTCTAGATATGCATTTTTCTTCAACAATCTGATGCGATCACCAGGTAGATAGGTCGGGATGTATACAAATGCACGTGACGTATGTCTCATAGGAAGATTTGCCATACGATAGGCAGCTTCTTGGGATCCTACTGTCCTGCGACTTAATAAAAGCCGAGAGACCTATATGAAAATATGAATGATGAATAGTACCTCTTAAAATTTTTTGGAAAACTAAGTAACGAAATCCATACCTTCTCCATTTGTACCCGTATTGGTTGTCGACTTTCACGGAGAGTCTGAAGGGTGTGTCGAATGTCATCACGGAGGGTTTCAGGTTCATTTTTCCCGATATACTTTGCTATATAAAGGGCGACAGCGGCAACGCCTGTTACAATCTGTATATCCATGTTGCATCGAAGAATCTTCAGCAGTGTCGGATGGTAGTTGTTCACCCGCTCTTCCCCTTGACAACGCCTTAGGATTACTCCATGACCATTGTTGGTTTCTTCCAGAGTGGTTTCAGATGCAAGAGGTCGTGGAAACCCAAACCGACACGTGGAACCTTTCTTAAAGCACGTGGTCGTATCTTTGTGCGACTGATATCGCCGTACAATATCCTCCATTCCACTACCTAGAAGTCGGCACGACACGTTGCGGTCGATAAAGTTTATTCCTTCAGGTGTGGAAAGGTTCGGTGCATCCTGAATCCATATAAGTGAATGAAGGTGTGGACTACCTCGGTCTTGGAACTCTACCCGGAATGTATAGTCCACTACTGGCTTTCCAAATATCGTTTGATCCTGGTTCAGTAATTTTATTAATTCATTTGTCCTGAGATTGAAATGGCGGGCGGCGGCGACAGGATTTGAGTTTAATAACTCCCGACGAAAGTCGAATGGCATATCTTGAATATTGTCCGGAGGAGGGTCGTCTTTGGGATGACCGGCCTTCCACATTGCATTGAGCACATCAGCTGAGCCCATGTCGTCGTAGGAAACCGTTAGAAAAAATATTGGCGGACCAAGCCTCATAATCATTGCCATTATGTCCCCCGTATACCTCTTCCAATAAGATCTGGAGCCACGAATTGCGCTCATGTATAGATGTAAATTTTCAGCTGCAGGAGCGTTATCATTTTCAGAATCCTGGTATTTCATGTTCCCACAGATATTAATTTTTGCTCGGATAATCGACTCTTCAGATCTTGAAAGTGCATAAAAGAGATAATCTATGCGGTGGAACCGAGGATCTCCCGACATTACCCTTGTCTGAAAGTATGCATGCGTGGTGATGCGAAATCGTTCATCTCTCTTTTCATCCAATCCAAATTTTCCATGTGGGAAGCAGGTGATGAAACATTTTTCTTCTAAGTGATTCTCAGAAGTTAATCTCACGGGTGGAGCTGCAGTTCGATTGAGATTGAATTTTTCCAGCTGTGGCTCTATGTAGTCCACTGGGTGTAGCAAACAGTCTTCCGCAGCTTCTTCACCAAAAACAACAGTTTCTGGCGGCAGATCTTCTGGGAGGTCAGACGGTCCCGGAATCGCTGGAGGCGGTGTTATGTCGGGTCCTTGGTCGATTATTGTGAGTTTGAGGGGAGTAATGGTTATGATGGCGGATTCAGGACCTCCCACGCAATTTTTGTTGACAATAGATCTAATATGATTAATACTTTCTGGGTGGTTACGATCGAGCCTAAGGATTACTGCTTTGGCGGACTTAGCTAAAGATATATGGCCTTGCTGACTCCTAGAATGACTGTCGAAGTAGAAAATGTAACGCTCTGTCCGAATCAGTCCCATCGTATAAGCACCTGTGTGAATTTAGAATTGATTAAAAAATATTTCAATACATTTTAATTAAGATTTCTTCTAACAAACTTGCCTGCCGTAATGAGCCCGTAATTTGATTGGCCATGAAGGAATTGGGATAAAGCATCAGCTACTGAATTTGTTGTGATCGTTTGGGCCTCCCTCAGAAACTTGTCGAATCCTCCATAAATGACTGTCCCGCCTTCAACGAGTTCGATGCGCACAATGTTTCCATAACAATTTCGGACCTCGCCAAGAATTTCGTCCACAGCAAGATGATCAGGAATGACAGGACGCTGATGCTCTTCCGTGATTACACGAGCTGTGGGATGGTACATATATATCATACTTAAACTTAGAGACAGGTACAATATTTGAATTCTGATACCTGCTACCAACTTCTTGCGACATTGATTGTCATAAAAGTCACCTTCAGTCAAAATCCTGTCTCCGTCTTGGACTGTCCACTCGTTCGGCGGCTTAACTGCTGCATAAACTGTAGCGACCGCCGAAATTGCAGTGCATTGCTTTCCGGCTGATTCCCCGAATACGGCTGCCGTTTGACAGAAACTTAACTGTAACGACGACATCCACGTCTTTCCCGTTATGGCGATGTATCCAGTATTTACCCGATGTTGACGCTGCCTAATGTTTATTACTGGACTTGGAGTAGCACTTTCTTCTTGAATCATTAGATCCTGGATACGGATTCCATTCAAATTGAACTGCTCAATGGTGACATTTGAGTATCCATCGTTGTTGACCAGCAGCCACTGGAGCGCCTCTCGAAGCACTGGAGGAAATAATTAAATAATTAAATAATTAATACTCGAATATAGATCAACCACGTAAATATGCTATACCTGCGGGACGAATCGTGTATGTCGACGAGTGGGGAAAGTTTTCCACAGATTCACTTACTATAACTGTCCCATAATTATTATTTGGCCCAAGTCTCAGCTGATCCTGGACCTCTTCGACACTTTGCGCGAAATGGATGACTTGTCCACGTAATGCAGATTGTCCTTTTCCTCGCCCCAACTTGAAAATCTTCAGAAACGCTTTCGCTCTACTAACCACTCTCGACTCTACTTCTGTTAGATTCTTGATGATATTCGGAGATGGTGGGACGAACATATTGTTGACCAATGCAGCAGCAGGAACTCTCCCCCTCTTTAAGTTTTCGTGACAACGCTTGCAACAGTCAATGATTTCCAAAACCTCTGGAATGAGCTGGGATTTCACCGTCTGATCATAATTGTTATCGACAGCAGCTAGGAGGTCGTGAATGATTTTTGTCACAATTAGTGATCTGTGAAAATAATTTTATTATTATGATTTTTAAAATATCTACTTTATCAACATCTTCAAAATACTCACCGAATACCCTTTCTGTACCACGTACGGTCACAAATTCGGCACCGCCATTCGGCAGCCTGATTAATGTTGATCCTGAAGAGTATTTGCTGTGGTGTTTCTTCTGAGCAATGGGGGCTAGCATGAATGGGCGTAGGCTGCGGGAGAATTGCTCCTTCCTCGGTTGGATCGACAATCCGATTTACCTCGCCCTGATTATTTTCAATATTTGATATTTCGTTCTCCTCAGATACGGTTGCTGTAATATTTGATCTTTTTGCCCACCTCATTTGTTCCAACTTTCGCCGTTTCCTCGCCTTATACGGCATTGCTCGTAAACTTAATTAAAAATTTGTAATTTAAAAAGTACTACAAATATTGTATTTATTTTGTATTTTAAGCAGAAATGTCGGGAAGCAACAATGGAGCTGAAGTATCTGCTCGTCGAGTTCCCACACAACAGGGGTACACTGAGACGAGTCTCCATATGCCTACGCAGACAACTTATTTTTTTCTATAAGTAGTAAATTTGTATTTGCATCTTCATCAATATTTTAGTTTGAAAGTTGATAACATATAATTGATGGATTATAAATTCTATACGTATTTATTAACCTAAAAAAATATTTTAATTATATCTAAAGTATACTCGGTGGTTAAATCAAGTTTTTGCTGTTTTGGTTTGAAATTCAGAAATCGCGCCATAACTCGAAAACTAAGGCTTATTTCGAAAAAGTCAATTAGTTGAGGGCACTAGCCGGGACCCTCCCCTATACGAACCCGTTGAGTTCAGGTCACCAAAATGTATCCTCTTGGCTGTAGCTCAGTGGAGAAATTGGTTGCTGAAAACGCGAAATTTTTCGAAAATTCGAATCTGGTGCCATAACAAAGCTCCATTTCGAAAAAATTTTCAAGTAAATATCATAGATAAAATCATTGTGAACATATTTGCTATAGCATGCAATAGTATATCATGCACCCAATTCATTCAGCGAAACATTTAAGATTTCGAATCCGAAAAAACGGTTTTTCTTGAATATCTTAAAAACGGTTCAAGATAGCATAAATTAGAAAAAAGTCATTTTAAAGCTTCCCCAGATGTATCCAATGAACGTTATTCCATCCCTGTAGGTCAAACCGTTTTTTTGTACGAGCGATCGACATTTCCCATAAGAGTGCCGGACAACATACTATATGTTCCACATATAGCACCAAATGTCTCACAATGCCCCCACATTTGAGCTTATGGGGAAAAAATAGAAAAATACGTCTACTGCACATCTCCTTGTTTATCTCATTGTTCATCTACGTTTTATCATTGCACCCTGTTTTACGCAACAACGGACATGAAATGGAAATTGGCCTGGTTTTACGAATGAAAAACGAGGCTAGTATATATCGATGGAACAAGTTTGTTTGTGTACATACATTAATAAAATTGCAATCTTGAATCAAATCGAGCATGAACTTTCTCTTGGGGAAAAAGGTAAACAATCCATGTTGGAATTCCGTCATTAATTTGTACACGTCTTGGAATCAGGTTAAATTATAAAAACAAAACTTATTTCGGAAACAAAATTATTTCGGAGACTCGACTTGGTCCAAGAAATATGCTCATTGTCACATAAATAACGGTGCAGGGAAGAAGAAGGTAGGTCAAGTCGTTGCGGATATTTTCTTAATTGTGAGCATACGTAATAGTTGATGATAAAATGGGGGCAAGATATACAAACTATGGATTAAGAATATGAACAATTTCAAAATTTGGATACTCCAAATCTCGAAAGTTTAATTTTAACAATTTTAAATATAATTACAAAATATATACGTAGGTTGTATAATATTTGTAGGGAATTTATCCCGGACACTCGACTTGGTTCAAAAAATATGCCCATTGTCACATAAATAAAGCCGGGAAGACAAAGGTAGGTCAGTCCATTGCGGATAATCGTGCGCATAATGATTTACTTTATTTCACTTTCTCCACGACCCCCTTTCGACTTTTGGCTTCTTCTTCCCAGCATTACGAAAAACACACATTTCCTGAATAACCGTGCCCATCTCATGCCGTGAATACCAATTTCGTTAACGTACGTAATCGTCCCTTCTGCACAATAAATTCGGTCTGCCCCACTTAGAAATGCAGACCAAAAAAGGACTCAATTGTCCCCGTGTCGATGTCGAGCCAGTCGACGCGATGCCAACTAAAGAACGTCCGGGAATGAATGGGAATGCGCGCTCTAGCGAGTATATTGACAAATCAATAAACCCGCGAACTATAATAATTTAAATTTCTGAAAGCCCACTTCATTAGAGTCAATTTGGTATATCACTCTTAAATTTCAAAAATGGATAAGGGTAGAAGAAGCTTGTTTGAAAGGGAGCTGTTAGCAAAACGAGTGATGGAGTTCTACAACACGACAGCCAACCGAGACTCCAAGGTGACCTGGAACTTTTTTAAGCAGGAAGGAATTCCAAGTTCAAATGTGTATTCCTACATAAAAAATTTCAAGGATTCCGAAAATGTGCAATTCAAGAAGCCAGCTGGTCGTCCGGCGAAGCTAGCGACCACTCGAGTGAAAAATAGAATTGAAAAAATTTTCAAAACCAAGCCATCAACGTCAGTAGCTGTAGCTGCCAGGAAAGTCAAAATTTCCAAAAGCTACCTGGGGGAAATTAAGGTCCATAAATTAGGAATCAAAGCAAGGACCAAAAAACCTGCACCAAATTACAAGCCCGTACAAGAAAGTCGGATCAAGGATTGCTGTCAAAAATTGTTGAAGGAAATGCGTGGAAAAGTAGTGATCCTGGATGACGAAACGTATGTTCCGGTTGACCCTTCAAATCTTCCAGGGCGTCATTTTTTTCATAGCTCGGATCCCTCTGAAGTGGCTTATGAAGAAAAAGTACGAAAAAAAGACAAATTTCCAAAGAAATATTGCATTTGGCAATGCATCTCCAGTCACGGACATGTATCAGACCCGGTAGTTCTCGAAGGGAATATCAATCAAGATATTTATCTGAAAAATTGCGTCAAGGCTGGATTGGAAGCATTTATTAATAGGTTTCACAAAAATGATAAAGTTTTGTTTTAGCCTGACCTCGCCACTTGTCACTATGCAAAGAAAGTGACCGAGTACCTCAGAAAGAAAAATATTGATTTCGTACCAAAAGATATCAACCCACCTAATGTACCCCAACTCCGCCCAATCGAAAAATTCTGGGCACGTTCTAAGTCAGTATACTCCCGGCTTCAAGATGTGCCTGACACCTTTCGAAAATTCAAAGGACGATGGAAGAAAATCACCTCGGAAGTGGCAAAAACTTCGGGAAAAAATTTAATGAAAAATCTTCGCAAGAAAATCGAACTAGTCGCCAACGGGGGTGTGGCGGCCTTAGCTATTAATTAAATTATGTAGGTACGTATTTGGTATTATACATATGCAAAAAGTTTAAAATTCCGATAACTCATTGTGATTTTATGACCACATTTTCAGACCATTCCCATTCATTCCCGGACGTTCTTTATATGACCGACTTTGGAGAGATGAGGTTGCACCTTTTTTTGTTTAAAGTTGGACCGAATTGTGGCCAAATTTCAAATTTGCCATCGTCAGTTAAAAGGGCCAAATTTTGTAGAAAATCTTAAATGGAAACGTATGTAAAAAAAGTTGCCTTTTCAGCAAAAAGTTTCAATACATCCATAATTTCCCTTTGTCTACATACAAAGGAGACGAAATACAATTATTGCTGCTCCACTTTTTCCGCAATTTCACCAGCACTGAAAGAAACAAGGAGATGACGATAAGTTGGACTGAATTCTTTATATAATTGAAGCCGGAAGTAGGAAGAAAAGTCTCAACAAACCAAACCAACAAGGTAGATTTACATATTCATCAAGGGAGAAAGTCCTAGTCTTTGTTTCTCTTTTAAGTTGAAGATAATAAAAAAAATGTTTCATTCAGGAGCGAAATCGTTTTTCTGCTGACTATAACTTGTAACTGATAGTAGTTTCTCGAATACAGAATTTTATTAAGGGCTGAATTTCAAATGGGAAACTTTCATTTGAATCCAAATTCAGTTACGGATCGTGGAAACGTAGTGGATTCCACCCGGGTCTCGACCTGGATGACCTACTTCTGAATTTCCTCCTTCTGAGCTTTTTTATTTCGTAAAAAGAAAGGCATAAAGGAAACGAGGAACAAAACCGGGATAAAATTCTGGGAATTTCTTTCTCTCTTCATTAATGAAACTGTGGAGTAAGTTTTTTTACGGTGTGAGACTTTGATGTGTATCTTGTAATTTTCTTTGGCACAGAATATGTAAATTAGGTATGCAAATAACTTGGAACAAGAACTAAGTTTTTATCATTGAGAAACATTTATTAAACTCACTTTTTTTAAGAATACAAACATGTCAGCAAGAATTTGATCATGATTTAGTTTTAATTTCCACACTTAATTTTTTGTCTAATTAAGCTACAATTTTTTTACGTATGCATCTAATTAACTAAAATCTAACACTTCTTAATTATAATTGGATACACTGATTGGACTAATTGATTGACTACAATTAAGAAACTAAGCTAAGCTATTTTAGTTTTACACATTTCTTTTTTCCTAATTAAAGTGGCAGACTGAGATTCAATTTTCAAAATTTCAGAAATTTTGAATTTCATTTTACATAAACGATAAAAAAATCTCTTTACAAAAATTGTTGAAAGAAAATATGATAAAAAATATATCGTCAGAAATCTCATCCTCTCATAAAATCACCTTAAATTATTGAGGTACATGCATGAAAATCCAATCAGACAGACTATCGTATTTACCAATCAGCCAGGTACGTTTCACTCTTCGATTACCTATCTCAGACACAGTTACAATTGAGGAAGTCTCAATTTTCACTCATTATTTCACTCTCATTCACTCTCATTTACATCATCATTAGCATAAAATACATAAAATAACGTATTTACATTATGTAGCAATTAAGGTACACGGTAATAACGTATCAAATTATATCTGTAGATTTATGAGTGCAGACAACATGACGAAATAAATTGTGTACACATTGTGCAAATACTAATTGGAATAGAACTGAGAACAATATCAATATCATCACCATTATGCTTCAAATTACGAGTACAACGTGGCTCAAAGGGAACAAATGGGTGGTGAGCTTTGCCTCTTTTTCATGGAATTGAAAACCACGAGCTTCGATTTGAGCTGACAAATGCTGGAAGTGAACGAAGACGTCGAGTCGCCCGACCCTTGGCGCTCATGCTTCGCCCCCTTCGACGACCCACTCACGCCCGGACTGCCCTCTCTGCTCCCCGCTGGAGAATTCGGGAAGGAGGCGGCGTCGTTGGTGACGACGTTGGTGTCCGCGATGGAGGCGGGCGCGATGGGGACTGGGCTCGCGTTGGAGGGCGAATTCTTCCCGAGGCGCAGACTGGCCAGCATCTTGCTCACGGAGAATTTCCGCTTGGGCGGCGGAACGTTGGTGGCGATGAGTGAAGTGATTATCGAGTGGAAACTGGAATAAACTTCGGGCGAGTTCTCCGCCACGGACAGCTCGTAAAATTGACACCCGAACTTTTCAGCTGCAGCGACCCCTTCAAGTCGATCTACTTGTCGGACATGGACAAGGTCACATTTGTTGGCAATGAGAGTGACGTGAACGGGGAGACCGGACTTTGAAGAAGCTGAAGTCGATGACGAATTGCCATTTTCAGATGTCGGAGGTTTGTAAATATTGTGGATTTTTTGAATATCGCTGAGAGCTTGCATCGCTGTGTCGAATGAGCTTCGGTCCGTGATGGAATAGACGATGATGAATCCGTCGGCTCGATAGAGTTCTTCGAGAGGGAAAGTTTTACGCTCGATGCATTCAGCCCCGTCCACGAAGGATGTGGAAATGTCGACGATTTCGATGTCGAGAGAGCTCCCGTGGCTGATGGCGAGTGTTTGACGGTAGAGCAAATCTGTAAAAAAGTAAGAGAGGTGTTCGATCAGCCGTCTGTTACATATTTATTACGAAAGACATGTAATCCATCAATCATCATTTGCAGTAGATTAATCTCATCCTCAGAGAGGAAAGTTACCTAATAACTGACTAAAAACATAATAATTCTGCTTTCCACCTGGCCAGCCAGCCAGGCAACCTGTCGAGCTGCACGTCGCCACGAATACTTGCCAAATATTTACCGTAGTAAATTGCCCACAACGATATGATTTTGCCCTTAATTGACAGCCACTGTTGCGAGCTGTCTCATTAAATGAGGCAAATTGAGACCACGTATGTACTTGCTCAGCTTGCAATATTTACATATATTTTTCTACCCAGATTTACATACCCACCCTCCCATAATTTATTTATAGCGGAAACTTATTACTTTCAGATCACTGCGTATGCATGAAGGGATTAAATGATAAGAAGAAATCCGAGCCAAGAATTGCATCCACACGGGAAAAAATCTCGACCTAGAACATGTAATATGCTTCACCAAACTGACGCCACGTTGGCGATTTTCCTCGGGCAATTTTCCAGACACCAGTCAAACCCAGAATACCCGGGTATTTACATTTACTTATAATCTGAGGAGTTACACTTTGCTCAAGTGTGACAATTTTGGTGGATTCTTGACGCCGATTTTTTTTATAGATAAGGACTCGTTGATATTCTCATTACGATATTAATAATAACGGAAAAGTTTGGTGTAATAATAATTGGGAGGAAATTTTCCATTGGCGACGAACGGACGACGACCACTTCGTCGTCGCCACAAAAAGTTTGACTTCCTTTTTCCTGGGCAAACAATGGCTAATGCAGAATTCAGTGGCCGCGGAAGCTTGAGGGGACAATGTCCCCAGGGTTATTCGATGTCCCCATCATCTGCCCATGTTATATAAACCCCCCTCCCCTAAATGTCCGCAGATGTCCCCACGGCTTCCGCGGCCACTGCAAAAATGTCTACGTAAAAGTAAAGTAAAGTGCTTGCTTTTGCTTTCACCGACAGAGATTCAACTTTTCCCAAGGAAAGTTTGTAACATTGCCGCCGCCGCCTAATAAATCCAATTTATTGCTGCGTATGGGTCTGGATATTGGTAAGAGTATGAGTTCCTTATGCCGTATAATGCAAACGTCAATCTATTAACGGGCGGGTGGTCCGTTAGTCGAGCTGTCAAGTGGAAAAATGACGACGGAAACAGAGACCTTCGAGAATAATAGTTCTCTTCTTGGTGGAGTTGGACATTCGGTGTCCACGTGAATGCAACGTGATCTCAGAATGCTTTCGTTTTCAAAATTACATATAACGTTTTACTGTAAAAATCCTGAAATTCATTCGGTGTACACGTGAACACAACGTGATCTCAAATTCTCAGAGTGTTTTTCGTTTGTTTTAAAAAATGCAACGTTTCTACTGCAAAAATTTGGAAACCCTGAAATTTTAAGATATGTCAAAAAAATTATTTTTACCTGTATTTGACTTGTACTCTCCGATATATCGTTTCGTCAAGTATCGCACGGTAAATGCTGCAATTAAATAAAAAACAAATTAGAAATTTCACCTTATTTCCTTCCCCGCATTATTATTTCCTTCTTCATGTGTCAGCTCCAGACTATGTACGTCAACGTCACAAAAGTTGTCTATTTCCGGTAAATTCTGTACATAAAGTCATTCCCACCAAGCAATAAGTTGGAAACCAAACCGCACTCATATCATAAGTCACTCGTCAACCAGTTTTCATTATGCTTTCAACCGGATAAATCCAGTTTCATGTCAAAAATAAATATCAGTACAGCATAATTTAGACCTTGAGTGGGAGGTGTTTTACTTCGGCGACGATTTAAAGTCACCAAGATTCGTGGCGACGTGGATTAAATTGACATAAAATTCCAGGTGTCATCATCTTTCCCCCATAAATTTATGAGATTATTATTATTTACAACTATGCAAGAATGCAAAATTCCTTCCAAGTTTCATCATCATGCACTTATTTCTTATTGCAAGATAAACATGGCACAGCTAGAATTTTCTGCTCTGTCCTTCAGTAAAATTATGGAGTAACAACAGTAACGAAACATCGCGATTACGATAATGTTGCTTTGCTTGGCTGAGAAATGCAGACTTCAATAAAACCAAGGACCAATCCAATCCACTCATCTTGCAAAAAATAAAGACATTGCGAAAAATGGTCGTGTGTCGTTCTGCATTATTTTGCTTGGCTGATCTCGACCTTCTCGAGTAACGGCGTAACGATTGAGTAACATTCCATGACTGAAAAATCGCCGAATTGATTTGTGTTATTTGCCATGCTTCGAGTCAAAGTCAAGTTCACTTTGGGAAAATAAGATATGGGTTTGGCCTCCGGGTGGGATTTCATAAGTGGAATTTTTAGGGATTTTTAATATGTATTTTGTTATGTTTTTTGAAAATTGAAAGATTTTAGCGACCAAAAGATGGTTTAAAAAAATGTTTAGTATAATAAAATAAATAGATTATCGTAAGACGTTAAAAAACCATCATTATGAGATACAGATTCTGAAAATTTTGTTAATTTGAGTCTAAATTTTCAAAAATATCGAAACTATAAAATTCAGAATGCCAATAAATTCAATACTTTGTCATATCAATTGTATAATGCCAATTTATTCTAATAGCACAATTTTGCGAATTTCCATAATTTAAAAGATGCATTAAACGCAAAATATTTCACCAAATTTATACATATTTAGATTTAGGTAATTAACATTTGTGTATCTCCGTTAAATGTCCCGATATCTTCAACTTATCAAGATAACGAGAACAACGCATTTTTTGCTGCTTCACTACACAATAAAATAAATGATTCCTCATGTGTCGCAATCCAATTTGTACGCCACGACAACAAAGCTATAAGTTTAAACTTGCATAACTTCTCGTATGTATTACGATCCACAAATGAATCACATTTATGTATTTGTGCATTTTCTAACCAACAGATCTTATTTTTAGTCTCCATTCCAACATGCCAACTTTCTTGTTGTCGTCGTAGTCGTTGAGAAATAAGCTGCTGCTGCTTGCACCCATCTTATTTATGGGACTCGCCCAACGATTAGTTCAACATTAACGAGGAGGACAAGAAATAAAGTTCATAGCTGAAGGTGACTCATTTGAAATAAAACTGGGCTATTTTTGTTGGTAAATATGTACGAGATCGTGTTAAGATTGTGAGAGAAGGGTTGGAGGAAAAATCGGTGCGAATTCATGAATTGAAGTATGCAAATTGGGTGACATGTGTAATTAAAATAATTTATGATAAAATTGAGAATCCAAATTTGCATTTTTTTGCAAATTTGGTAAAATGTGAATTTCATAAGATGCGAATTTTTAAAATGCAAATTTCCTAAATTGCGAATTTCTTAAAATGCGAATCCGATTCCACGTCGCATTTACAAATGTCAGGTTTTGCAAATTAAAACATCAATTTGCTAATGATGAGACTCAGTTGTCAGTTTGCCATTCAAAATGTACGTCATTCGTCTCAATTGTCGAATTGTGTAATGAAATGAAGGGAAAATTGCGAAATATTTAAATACCTGATTTGCCAACGTCATGTTGTCCATAAATTGCCACCCGAAGTTTACTATTTGCCCGTGAGCCGTTTAGCCTGCTGCTGCTGCCTCCTTTCCCCTCGCCGTTCTTATTCATTGCAATTTTCATAAATTGTACAAATCAAACCGCACTAAAAATTCAACTTGTTTGGATAAAATCCCACAAGTTTTCGCCACAATGCACGAATAAAAACTGTCCGATTTCCGATTAACAGGAGAAATTGGAGAAAGAGGCAAAGTGAGATTTCGAATATTTTCGCTAAAGTTGAGACTCAAGAGACGATTCCGAGTTTTGATGTGCTTGCTTCAAATGAAAGTCAGCGACTGAGAGAAGCCCGGAGCCAACATCTAGTTAAGTACAAGCCGAATTATCGGGGAAACTGACAACCCGGGTATTAGGGAAGGGAAGGGAATGCCTGCCTAGAACGGAAACATGATACCATTTTGGCCAACATACGCAACCCAATATTGCGAATTCGGTGAGGTTGGCAACTACGAGTAGGTAAATAGCCCCCGAATCCACAGGTGCGCAATGGATATTATTCTTACGACAGAAAACAAACAATTTCCTACCAATTTATCAGATTAACGGTATAATTATGACCGAATTTGATCCGATATACGGATATTTACATCAATTAGTATTATGACATAAGATCGTAGTAAATGTATTGTCAGCACAATTATTACTACATAATCCTTGGTTAGTTGTGTTTTAAATACCCAATTTATTTTGCGTCGGTATACAGCCGTTTTATGTTTTTATGATTAAAAGTGCTTTTAAACGATATAAAAGATAATAAATAAAGCATGTTATAAAAAATAATTAATAATAGTTTTAGAGCTGAATCTTATATGCAGGCTCAGCTTTTCTCAAGTACTCCGATGAAGAGCGCATCAAAATCTGCGATCGCACTCAAACATTTTATACTAATTCTTTCTGGGATGAAAAATATTACCCCAAACCCATTTTTCGAAATTTCAATTTTTGGCGAAATTATGGCAAATTTTTAATTTCGTTTTTTTGATTTTCTCTCTCAAATTACGAATAAACTATTCGTCAAAACCATATACTTTCCTATATCATTATATTCCTATTTTCCTTAGGATCCAATTTATGCATTAAAATTTTTCAATTTTTGGAAATTTGAAAAAAGATAGTGCTAAATTCTGCCAAATTGATGGTCAATTTACACAAAACATTTTCATTTGCCGAGGTCAAATTTCTGAAAACAGATGCCTTTGACTTTGAGGAGAAGGATATAAAAAATTGACATCGGCAAATGAAAATGTTTTTTTAAAATTCAAATCTTAAAAAATCAGAAAACTTATAACAGGCTCTTACGTGGCGCATGTAGAAAAAAATCTAAACGCTTAAATGGCAGGAATTTAAGTGTCGTAATTCAGTTAAACTCCATTTCACGAATTTCGTATGATTTAAACGCCAAAATAGAAATAACTGGTCTCCAATAATAAAATAATTCGGCTAGTTCGGGTGTGGTGAACTCAAATAGCGTGAAAGTTTCAGGCCAGAGGCCACTGAGGGAGTTGAGCTGTCTCAACTACCCCATGACTTCGAGTTTTAACGAGTACTTGAGAAAAACTGAGCCTGCATTCAAAAATAAATGGTTGATAAGTAACATTTGTAAATCAAGTTTTTTTCAAGTATCTTATCACCCCATTCATCAAATTATTTCGGGACGTATGCAGTATTTATGACACGTGGCCTAGCAAATAATATTTGCAGTGAATACTTATAACAGGTACGTATTCGCAAACATTTAAAAACTTAATTTCGAAGGATAACAACCTTCCACCATTTTTGCAAGCCTTAAAAAATTGATTTTCCATGGGCTTACTTGTTGCCAGAACCTTAACACAGTTTTGATATCCAATATTTGATCAATATGTATGTCATTTTATACATCATGTTGTAATCAATAATCAATTAATTTATGCAGGTTTTTCCAACCATTAAGATAACCGAATGATAAGGTTACACTGCAAATATAGGTATGCTTTCATCAATCAATCAATAAAATTATATCGATAATCAATCCTAATTATTTACAAGTTTATTGTTGTGAACAATTTTTTGATTTCGTTAAACGGTTTACATTTTAATGGATCACACACAATAAAAAATGTACTTGAGTGGTGCCCTGTCCTGTCACTCAAGATGACTCCAAACAACAAGCCATGTCCAGGTTATTCAGACCAGTGTCATCAATGGCTGCAAGGAATCAAATGACACAAATTGTGAAATCCAGCATATATAATGTTTATTTATAAATGTTTTGCGTAATAAATAACCCTAATTTAAAATTCAAGCAAAAAAACAGTGTTTCGAATATTTTAGCAAAATCAATACATTTTTAAAATGTACCGATTAGAATTTTGACACAATGTGTCAGAAGTTAAACGGCCAAATTTAGGCATTTTTGTTTTAAAAAAATATACTTATTTAATTTTATGTCAAAATCTACCAGTCAAATTTCAACATTTTTTTAAATGTTGAATAATGATTGAAAATTATTCAACAAAATTGATTAAAAAAATCATTAAAAATGCTGAAAAATGATTCAAAAATGGCAATTTCAAGTCAAAATACCTGACGGAAGTTGAACCGCAATCTGAGCCTTATATCCGCACAAGAGTGTTCCAGTCGGACAATTGAGTCGTTCGGTCCAATCCCCCCACGTGTTTCCGTTCCCCTCCATCCTGCTCCCATCGCAATAAAGAGCAATATTGTTGGCCGCCGTGTTATCCAACGTAGGCCCTTCTGCCCTCATTTGGAAGCCGGTCCCCCTCGCAGGCGCCAGACATTCGTAAAATGTACCCCAATTTCCATGCAGCGCTTCCCCTGACTTGATGTACGTTGCGGGCTACAAGTTTTTTTAAAAAATTGATTAGATAAACTGTTACTAATTCGAAATTTTGTAAACATTTCGAAATTTGGTTAATAAAGCGCTGATTTGTTTGTTTTGCGATTCAAATCCTTTAATTTTTAAGTGAGACAAGTTTGCATTGCGCAAAAATCTCACTAAAAATTTGCAAGAAAGCTTGAAAATGCATACAATTTGCAAAGTTACGAAGCTTGTCGCTAATTATTTAATCTCGACTCACCCCTTCCGGACCCTTGCACACTAATTCGACCGCATTCATCGCCGTATCGTCGACAAATATCCCTTGATCAGGCTGGTTTTTGGTTCTAAATCCCGTCACGAATGTCCCCTCTGGACAGATGGCCTCTTCCGCCCAGTCCCCCCAGTTGGTTCTCCGGGTCGACTCCAACCACACGGTAATGGGACGCTGAGCATAGGCCGTGGAGGCGACGGCAAGAACGATGGAAATCCACACCCAAGAAGTCGTCATGATTAATTCTGTACTTTTTACGAATGTGTGTGTCTTGCAGGGAGCAGAGAGTGAATGAAAGTGTGGAAATATTCGTGTCGAGTTTAGTAGTCTCATTATTATTATTATCGCGTAAGGTACCTTATCTGTTACCTTCTCGTTATTGTGTCACGAGGATGGTTATCCATCCATTATCATATCATGACATCTGTTATAAATTAATTTTCTGGTATATGTAATTATACAAATAATTACGTATGTAAAATGTATCCAGTCTGGAGTTATACTTATTTTTGGAAGGTAGGAATTATATAATGCATGGAGGTGGTCAAATGCAGATAAAAATGAGAGATGAGCATGGTGGGAAGGTATTTATATATTGGTTTAATGTGTGCTTATGCAAAAAATGTGAGATCATCAATTTTTATGGCAAAAAACATTTAGCATAAGAATCGTATCACAATCGATAGGGTGAAAAATAGGAAAGTAAAATATTTTCATAGCCACCTGTGCATTACAAATGAATAATAAATTTCATAATTTCATAACAAATTTCGAGTTGTATATATATTCACAGAATCATTTCAGTGGTGGATAATATTCCACGTAAAATATTTTCGTATTTTTTACGTGATGCATATGCAAACATTTGTCATGAAAAGTAATTAACGTCACGTAATACAAACATAAGATATGTACGCATTTAACTATATAAGAAGCTTGTGTCTAATTAGGAAATTATAATTTCGGGTTTGCCAGGCAAGAAGTGGAAATGATTGGTATCGACTGGTTCGCAATTAATTGAGTAAACAATTCGATCTTTGCGGTAAGAAAAACAACTCGAGAAACCTGCCAATTTACTACAGATGCGTATTTACTTACCACGTATTTGAGGAGAAAGTAAGAAAAACCACTTAAAAACTTGTTATTCACATTTCCTCTAACAAACTACAAATCAGTGAAAATGAGGTAAAGAACGTAACCTCACCATCAAAACGGTCTCTCCAAAATACTGAATTACATTCCTCCACGCGCTTCATTTTTTTCCAGTAATTACATACAAAACAAACAAAGTAAAGAGTTGACAGTGGAGACAAATGAGCAGGTGTGTCAGCAAATTGACGCGTGATTGAACAGACAATGAAAGGCTTTCATCAAACAGATGACCCATGTTTTCACGACCACAAACTCTGCCATCATTTCCTCCGTGTCGTGTCGGAATAACGGGTGTGAAAGGAATTCTTGGGAATGGAAGTCCTTGAAAAGGTCGTGAGAACTAAAGATGTGATCCACGAGCGGCACGTGTCACCATGATCAACGGGATGCTAGAGAGGAAAGAGCTTAACCACTAATTATTTTAATATACGGAACATTTCTGAACATAAATTTCCTATAAGTACATTAGAGGTGAGTGGGGTCGATATTTACAAGATCCCTCCCTTCTTTACAACTTCCTTCATAAATGCATTTGTCAATAAGAAGGACAGAATGCCATACTGGGGATTAAAAGACTCGTGTAATTCCAACGTGCTTTCACATTGAAAGAAAAACTGCGTATTTTGTGCAAAATACAATTTTCTTAGAAATATGGGGAAGAATAACATGTCAAAAGGTGACATCTCATGCTTCTAAGGGAATTTTGCCTTTGAATAATAAGGTTTCTTGGTAGAACATAATAGGGAACACGTGTCGATGTTTTTTTGCTGGAGAAGGAACGTATTTTCGTAATTTAGAAAATTTTTGCAAATTTCAATCACACGAAGTTACTTTCTTCTAAAAAAAATATTTGCAATATCAAAACCAAAGTATTTCTAAGATCTGAGATTAAAAATTTTTAATACAAATTTTCATCATTTTTTAAAAATTTCTCTCCTTGATGTCATTTAATACATACATTCTGATCAACAGGCAGTCTTTGTGCATACATGTTTTCATTTTTACTTTTTTACTATACGTGGTCAGTCAACCGGACATTTTCACCAAATACGTCAATAGACCACGTTCATATGACATGACTCTGGTGAAAGTACCTGCTGGATGACCACGAACACCATCAATATCATCTTTTATCACTCTAGCGATATGGAAATGTCAGCCTAAAGGAAACCATAATATTTACATCACGTAGTACAAACTACGACGCATTTTTACTTACTCGTGACGAGCAAAGGGTCATATCGTAGAGGTGAAAGCAAGAGTACAGTAGCAGCGACAAGTACCTATGTAAGCTCGGGTGGGCAATGTATTTATGCTTATCTTATCTCTTTTGCATTTATTTTTGTCATCCCAAACACGCAAAGTCTTCAATTTTCATCAGAAACAGAATTCAGGAAAATTCTAAATTCGGATAACACGAATTAATTAATCCAATAGAGGAATACCATTTATGCAGAATTTAATTGTTTAATCACCGCATGGACATTAAAAACTATGCTGCCAAATTATATTTAAATACTGATTAAAAATAAATGATTTGTTATGATTAAAAACAGTTACGTAATGTGCATAAGTGGTTATGGGTGAAAGTGGGCCCGAAGGAGCCTCTTCTACAACGGACTCGAACTTTGAGGTTTGAAAACATTCAAAATATTTGGTTTTCCTGACCTTCATCTTATATATTTGTTTGTTTATTTTATCGTCGCGATGAAAAAAGTGGTCGCAGTTCTTACAGTCCAAATGTTTCATCTGGACAGGACTGAATTCAATTAAGCTCAGGAGGAGGAAAACTTGTTTTTCAACAGGTATATATGTATGTTTTCCCGAATTTGTGGTAAATATTTTCAACTTTGAGCAACCTTGAAGAACTTTGTCAGCGTTGAGCCAGGTAATAAATGCAGGTAAGTAAATAGACTGAAAGATAAAAACACAGGACAAGGTCACGGACAGCGGTTTGTATGTGACCTTGTTTTCGTCAGAGAAGATTAAAATCCTTGGTTTTTTTATTAAGTTAAAGTGAAAGGCAAATGATTAAAAGCTGGAGGTTGGGAAAACTTATCCTTAGAAAAATATTTATACATTGAGAACATATCCCATCGTAAATATTATAATTGGACGAGAAATTATGGAAATGGAGAATATCTCGATAAGATTGGGTTACCAATGAAAAAAAACCCTTTTATAAATCGTGGACTAATCCTAAAAATCAGGACGATATTTGGTGCCATACAGTATTCTGCCTTTGAATGATAATCCGTAAAACAGGTTGTGCATGCTGAAACTTATTTGTGCAAAATCCAGACAGGACAAAATTTTGATGTCTGTCTGAAACCCTTAATTTTTGTAATATGTCGGAGACGAATAAAAAAAATTTAGAATTATACTTGTTTATTGTAATGTATAGATGTAACTTCCCCACTTAACAAAGTACAATAAATAATGTAATAAATAATTCTGTTTAAGCAAATGTTAAGATCCCAAAATGTTGATGTAAATATTCTGAACCCTTTAACAACGAGAAGTTTAAACGCTGAATCTAACTTAAAATTAAGAACAATAAAAGTGTATACTAATCCACTTTATGCCAAGGTTTCATTTTTATTTTTATTTCGTAAAAAATTACAAAGTTATAAAAACTCTACAAATCATGAAATCAGCTTCAATTTCCATATAAATAAGTGAAAACCTGCTCGGCATAAATGTCATGAAAATTGACTTGGCTGGCAAATAATAAACGAAAAATTTGTGTAAAATGTAAAATGTCAGAGACGAATAAAACAAATATAGATATAACCTTCCCACTTGCCAAAGTTTAAAAGATACTCTCAGTAAATGTAAAGATTTTGAGGACTGTCATTTTGATGGGCAAAATTTTTTGATGTCTGTCTTGAAGCCCTTAATTTTTGAAATATTTGTAATATGTCGGAGACGAATAAACAAATTTAGGATGATTCCTCATTTTTAAGGATTTGTAGATGTTGTTGCCTTTATTCACGTGTCAACAGAGATCAATCTATTACAAATTGGTTTACACACCATGACACAAGTAGCATTATATATTTTTTAAAGCATCTAATCTAATCTAATCTAACTAGTAGGATCGAGTCAGTTTAAGCAAGTGCAGACATCACAAAATTTTGATATCTGTCTAAAACCCTTAATAACGAGAATCCATAACTGAGATTAAATTCCAGGTATTCAACGACGACGCAATTAATGTGGCCGACTGAAGCTGAAACAATAAAAAAAATGGAATTGATTTCTCTTCCTTGTTACAAGAAAACGTGGAAGCAAGTGAAAGCAAGCTCGCAATCTCCTCCATCCACTTTTCCCGTATAATAAAATATTCTAAGCCATATAGAAAGTAATCCATCCATTCTTTTAGCTCAGCCGTAATAATGGTCGACTGGATTATGCTAATGACGAGACGAGATATGCAGCAGTGCAAAGGAATAATCGCATAAAAGTCTGGTTTGCACTGGTGAAAGTGGAATTGACTTTCTCCAGGCCGGTCGAGATAGTGGTGGCGGTCGTGGGACGCATGGTGACTGCATAGCCATCGAGATATCTGCCACTTTCACTCGCAGTTGCAGAGATCGGGTTCCATGAACTTTTCTCCTTGACGGGACAACCGTTAATGGCCAATGGCAGATCATATAATGTGCAATTGCGATTGAAATTGCCGTCCTTAAACTGAAGGAAGGAAAAGGTTGAAGGAAAACTTTGGGAAATCGTAATTAGCAGCATTTTTGATGTTATCACTTCAGCTGTAAAAAATTTATCAAGCCAGAGATGTCTGTACCAATGAATGAATAACTTTATGCAAAGATTTTGGCATAACTTTTAATTGGCCAACTAAATAAGTAGTTAAAATTCGGAAAAATTGAGCTAACGTCATCACCCTGTTTTTCCTTTAAGTTGAACTTTCTCCAAACGTAAGTACTGTAAGTTTAACTGTCACTTTGTCACTGCCGAAACGACATCGCCATGCACTCTTCGTCGGTGTTTATGAACTTATCAAGTTGACGGGTGACACGAGTTAGTAAATGATTTTGGATTTTGAACTCACACAGCATGAGCCTTTTTGGGGTGTTTGGTCGAGTGAAAATGACATTGATCATGAATTTCTGATAGTTGACGACTTGTTTTCTT